CCCACGGCACCTCCAGCCCCTCTTGTTCTCTCTCGAAGGGCCCATCTGTGCTCACGCCCCCGCTCGGGAATTCGCTGTGCAAAAGGCCTTCTGCTGTGGTCAGCACTGGGGTCTTTTGTTTTGGAAAATGTGTCGCCACTATTTTTTTTTTTTTTGCCACTATTTTTAGTTCCAACTTGAAAATGTTTTCCCCATGGAGGAAGCAGAGCTGTCCCAGAGAACAAAACAGAGTGGCATGACTTCCGATGCCATTTGACATTGTGGAAGTTACCACTGGGGCAGGAGTCCCCGGCATCTCTCCCCTGTGAGCTGGGCTGGTGGCCCTGAGTGGCGGTGTGGGTGTGGTCAGGGGCCCACCCTGCCTCCTTGTAAAACTCCCCAGGACAGCAGAGAGACAAAAGGCCAGCTAGCCAGGGCCCATCACAGCATGGAGCTGAGGGAGGAAGACCAGGCCAAAGCCTGGGCCCTAAGCTGCAGGAGGTAGAGTGCCCTTGGGTCTTAACCAGGGCCATGCTGGAGAGGAGCAGTGTCTGCCACCACCCCCTACTACTGTGTCCACTGGGTGTGCTGCTCATCAGAAGCCCCAGTGGTGAAATGGGTTATGCTTTGAGCTGTTCATCTCAAGGTCAGCGGTTCAAACCAGCAGTCCCTGAGGGAGAAAGATGAGGCTGCCTGCTCCTGCAGAGATTTAGAGCAATGTTTCCCAAAGTGGGTGACACTGCCCCTGAGGGGCCCGGAACGGTCCACGGGTCTGCAAAAGCGGATGCCTTTTTATTTATTCTGGACAAAAGGTTTCAGTGGCAGGGGGACGGGGCCATGAGTCATTTTTTTTGTGTTTCTGGAAAGGCGGGGTGTAGGCCAAATATGCTTAGGCACCTCTGATGTCAGTCTCAGACCCGGAGGAGCCGTCGACTGCCCCGGCTGCTGTGAGTCGGAGCCCACTTGTCATCGGCAGTGGGCTTTGGCCATCAGAATCCCGTGAAGATTTCTTGGGATAAAGGAAAACATTTAGAAGCTAACTCTAAAATTTCCCAATGAAATGAAGTGGGTGGGGATGAACTGTATATTAACATTTATGAGAAAACCCCTCTCCTGAGGTAGGGCAGCATCCAGAAACGGATGCAGGGGGACATCTGCACTTCGCCAGGAAGGTGATCAGTGGGCACTGCAGTGAGGTGGGGATGGGCCACTTGCTTAATGAGCGGCACTCACATCCGTAGCTACTCACTGGGAAAGCACTTGGCTGCTCAACAGAAGGTCAGCGGTTCAGACCCACCCACTGGCCTCCCAGAGAAAAACGAGGCCACATGTGCCCATAGAGCTGGCAGCCTCGGAAACCCAGTGAGACAGTCTTGCTTTGTCCTTCAGGGGTTTTGGGGGTCAGATAGCCATGAGTTTTGTTGGTTGGTGTGACAGTCCTGATACAAAGAAAAATTTAGGAGAAAATTGAGGATGACTTTTGATAGAACCCCAAGCAGAACTAGAAACCTGAAGGCAGTTTCCTGAGGGCAGGCGGGCCAGCCCGGCTCTTCTCTCTGGCGCAAGCACAACAGCGCTAGCAGGCCTCCGTGACCACAGAGAAACAGGACAAGGAGCTTCTCTGACTGACGAGCGCCAACTGGAGGTGTAAGTGCTACGTAACGGATATGAACAGGCAGTGCACCCAGAAAGAAGCTGGGGGCTGGGGGCATCGAGAGGGACTTGCGCCTCCCTTGGGTCGAGGGACGCAGGGCTGAGTGTTCACCATACTGGGAGATAGGGTCAGCCATGTGCCCCCCACCCCCCCAACACTGAGCAGAACCCACGGGTACCCTGATTCACACACTCTAAATAGTAGCTGCCTTTTTTGAAATATTGTCTGGCAGAACCTCGTAAGAGTCCAAATGCACACATCGCTCTAGCCGTCCGTCCTTCTGTCCTTCTCGGGACTGCTCTAGAAATGCAGGCAGTGCCATGTGGACACTACGATTGGCTCATGGCCGTCGACACTGGGAGGCAGGGTCTGCATGTTGCTGTCGAAAACGAGGAGGGGAACCATTTATTTTCCCTTGAAGTCAGCGAGGACTACAAAGGGGAGTAACAGGGCGTGTACCACGCTTGAGTTCTCTGCAGAGGAGCTGCTGCCTGGCAGCTGAGACGGAGCTGGAGAAGGTGGCGCTTCAAGCACAGGTGGTGATAACCAGTCCCGGGAAGCCCTGTTGTCGATTTGCTGTGTGGTACTCAGCACTAGACTAACAGAGGATTTTCCACAGGTTGGGAAAGATTATGACACCCTTTCTAAATATTCACCAAAGATGACCCCAGCCACTTCAACTAAAGCCTACAGCGGTCCCCTGATCGATATGTTTAATAACCCAGCAACCGTGGCCCAGAATTCAGAAAGGACAAACAATTCAACAGGTAAGAGATCTGGTGTGATTTTAAATGTTTCATTACCATTTTATTATTCATGTAAATGTTGGGCATGCTTTGGATAAGCCAGTGGTGAGCTGGGGCTTTATAAACAGACACACACATAGTTTATGTCCCAGCTCTAAGCAGATAAAGGTCTAGGTGTGATTCAGGCAGCATGTAGAGAGCGAGCCAGCCCATGAGAAGGGCAGAGGGGGGCAAGGGTATTTGTTGAGTACTAGCCCTGGGGGCTCGCAGCAGCAGCAGCCATAGCCCTGGTGGCTGAGTGCAGCGGTGTTCAACCTGTGGGTTGCGACCCCTTTGGGAGTTGCCCGATTCATAACAGTAGCAAAATGACAGTGATGAGGTAGCAACCGAAATAATTTCCTGGCTGGGGGTCACCACCGCATGAGGAGCTAACCGTGTGGAAGGGTGGCGGCAGGAGGAAGGTGAAGCTCTGGCCTAGTGGGTTACACGTGGGGCAGCCGTCCACACACTCGCCGTGGAGACCAGCAGCCGCTCCTCGGAGAGAGAGACGAGGCTTTCTGCCCCACAGTCAGTCTGGGAAACCCACGGGCAGCTCTAGATCTGCCCTGCCCTGTACGGTCACGACTATCGGAACTGACTCAATGGCAGCACGTGTGCTTTCTGGAAGACAGAGTGGACCCTGCCCATCAGATGCTGTTGCCTGAAACGACAGGTGTTGTAGAGCTGGGGCTTTGGCGGGGTCTTCTGGAGCAGCCTGGCTCCCAGGGCGGCCGGCTGGTTCTTTGCGGGTGTGTCCGGGTTCCAGCTGCAGGTGTGGCTGGCAGGGTTCTGCCTTCAGACGGAGTTGAGTTCATCTCCAGTCTCAAGGAAGCAGCAAAGCTCTATCGGTTCACGGTGGACTCCAACTGGATTGTAAGACGAGAGCACAAAGGCAGCCAAGTGTAGGCCCCAGCGAGAAACGCCGTGTCCCGGGTAGGGGTGGGCGTCAGGTCGTTCACCTCTGCCTCACTGCCTCCACTTCACGAGCTTGACACACAGCACCCTTGGGGGCTGCGTGGCAGGAGATGACCCCATCTCTGTGTGGACGGGGTGAAGAATCAGCGAGAATGCAGAGTGAGAGTTTGCGTTGTTTTCAGGTCCTAGGGTAGCAGAACGTGAGTGGGAAGAAATGGTTAAACTGAATAAGCCTGTCCCGTCTGTATACATGTAGGAGTGATCCAGCCTGCGTGTGCTTTTCGACACATAGCATGCTCCCAGGGCTTAGGGGTGCTGGCTGCTCTGTGACTCCTGACCCTGCCACTACCAGCTCAGGGGTCCCGGCGAGTCACTCGGTCTCGTCGTCTGTTGGTGTGGACAGCATGGTGCTTCTCTCTGCCCCGCCCAGCCTGGGCGCTCTGTTCCACGGGGGTCAGTGGACTGGGAATGAGATGTCCGTGAGTGAGGTGCCACTCACACCGGCTTCCTCTTGGACCAGAGCCGCCTGAGGACCCGAGTCTCCAGCGCTCGGTGTCCGTGGCCACGGGCCTGAACCTGATGAAGAAGCAGAAGGTGAGGGCCATCTTTGCCCATGCCGACGGCGGGAACAAGACCCTGCTCAGCTTTGCCAAGGGGGCCGTCATCACGCTGCTCATCCCCGAGGAGAAGGACGGCTGGCTCTATGGGGAGCTGGATGCCACCAGAGTGTAAGTCCCACGAGGCACAGCCCACTCAGTCAGACCTTCCCGGAGTGTTCCCTCTCAGGCCATCCTCTGTGTGCTGCCCGTGTGGTGCGGTGGGGTAAGCATCAGGCTGCTCACTGCAAGGCTGGAGGTTCAAACCCACCAGCTGCTCCTCTGGAGAAGCTGAGACCTGGGAAACCCTATGGAGCAGCTCTGCCCTGCCCTGTCGGGGCTGTGGGTCAGTCGCTGGGCAGCAGTGCGGGCAGACCTCATTGTACTGCATGGCGCAGATCCTGGTTTTCACGGAGTGGAAGTGGGTGGCTGCCCTGCATCCGATGTGGGTGCCGTTTGTCCAAACGCATGTTCCCGTGGCACGTCTGTTGGTCATGCCCGCCATGTTTCAGGCTTCCTCATGATGCTGTCCCACACTCCAGACCAGGGAAACCAAACACACGTGGGGCTTGCTTGATGAGCTCTTTGCTCGACTGGGGAGGACTGAAATGGGACCCCAGGCTCCGAGGCCTGCCTGGACTTGGTGTTCCAACAGATAAGACCAAAGTCTGCAAAGTCACCTGAGTGCAGATAACGTTCTCCTGGTCTCTTGTTTCTTTCAAGCATATGACTTGCTTTCTCAACACGCTCAGTCATTGTGTTATGACCTCACATTAAACAGTAAACACCGCCCTCGCCTGTCAGCCGCCTGGAAGGAACCAGGCTTATCAGTGACGTGTGTTTCCACGAGCCTCGGCCCACATGTAGGCCCTGTGGTGAGCCTGGGGGTCAGTCCCTGCGCCCTCACTGTTGCTCCTTGGCATGCCTGCTGTTGAGCTTGTACCACAGAGAGGTCTTCTGTCCCCCTCCCCTTCCCCTGCAGGAGAGGCTGGTTCCCGTCGTCGTACACACAGGTGCTGGAGGGGGACGCAGAGGAAGCAGCCGCTCCACCCGTGCCAAGGTAGCCCGAGTGTGGCCCCTTCTCCCCAGCCACCAGAAGCCCACCCTGAGCCCCAGTCTGTCAGTCTGGGAACATTAGAGAAGCAAATTCATAAACACTCATGTGTACAAGAAAGGGCTTTATCTACAAGAACAGTTGAACATTGAGAAAACATCACAGCCCAGTCCAGATCAAGTCCTTAAGTCTGATATTAGCCCATATGTCCATACCAATGTATAAAGTCCTCTTCAGACTCACACACCAAATGCAATGACGCCAAATGCAGGTAGATCACAGGCCAGTGGGTGGGAAGTCTTCTGGATCCAGTGGTGCAAGCATCTCAGCACTGGCAGGGGTCTCCATGTGGCTCCTCCAGTTCTCAGGGCACGGGGTCCATCAGCTTGGTGCCATGTGTCTTGTCAGTAGAGCATCTCTCGGGGAGTCCACCTTGTCAGTAGAGTCTCTCCAAGGGAGTGAGCAGAGAGAGAAAGTGTCTCCCACCTCCAAGGAGGAAAAATAAAGGAGTTCCCAGAATTCTCAGGAGAAGGCCATGTTCACACAGAGGCCTCATTGGCTATGATCCAATGGACAGACTAGACTCCACCCCTTCACTCTTAATCCTCTCAAGTCCCAAACTGACACCAGATGACGTAACTACCACACCCAGGTTCCAAGCAGAGCCATGGGCAGGGGAAAAGAGAGATCACTGTCCCACCTTGCTCCATTCTTCCATCGTCCATGGGGATCTGGAAGATGAAGAGACCCAGCCAACCTCTCCTCAGTGCTGCTCTGGTTACAAAATGTGATCCTTAGTACAGCCTCAAACCTTGGCGAATTCTCTCTCCAGAACGTCCTACCTTGGATTCTTTTCTTTGTACTCCTCCAACTGTCCCTGTGTGTTCACCTCCAGGGGCTCTTCTGCTGCCCATCCTGTGCTGCCTATCCTGTGGACACTGATGGTCCTCAGGCCTCCCCGCCCGGGGCTTGAATCCCACCTCTGGTAGCCGACAAGTGTGTTTCAGGGCAGTGTGTTACAGTGACAGCCATGACTCGTAGAGCCCATTGCAGTCCCACAGTCTCCTTGAGGTGGGTCCCCGGGAAACTGGGACAGTGCTCCAGGAACCACACCCCATCCTGTCCCCGCTTCTCCATGGCGGCCCCTGAGTCCATCTCCACCTCCTCTCATCCCCGATCCAGCAGCACCCCGGATGCCGTGTGCCGACACGACAGTAACATTTGTGGAGACGGCATGCCAGTTCTTTTTTATCTTTAAGTGCTTACTTAGGTTCGTGCTGTGGTCTCTTTCTTTTACTTTTTTTGTTAGTTGATCACTATAGATTATATAGATCAAGATCCAGCTCCTAATCAAGCTAGCTAGTGACTGCTTTATTTTGTTTGGTCATGACTCTGAAGAGCTTTTGGGGGGTTAGCTTTATTGGCCATTCAAAACAGTGCAGTGTTGTAGGGTGTGTGCGCTTAGGGGTAAGCACATGTGCACCCGTGTGTTGGCAGCGGCCCCCTCCCCCCCTCAACCGTATCTTGCTGGGTCACTTGGACAGAGGCTGCCAGGCTCTCCCTCACTGCATCCTGTCCTTGTTTCCTCTCAGCCCTGTGCCTGTGCGGAGCGTCAGCACCGTGAACCTGGCTGAGAAGAGCCAGGTCTTCTTCCCTCCGCCAGATTACCAAGACTGTCTGTCCACGGGGGCAGCTGCGGACAAGAGAGGAGAGGCTCCCACACAGACCTCGACCTTCAGAGTGACAGCGCCCAAGCCGGGAGCCGTGTCTCCTGTGAGTAAAGCTGCCAGACTCACTTTCCCAAGTTCCCACTCCCATGTCCACTATCCTAGCCCCTCCGGGTCCTCCACCCTCCTCCTGGTCACACAGCCTCTCCCTCCTCCGTCGCCCTTCTTTCCTCCGTTAGGGTGTGCCCAGTGGCTCCGCATCGCCACTTCACCTCAGGCTTTGATAGGGTTTGTAATCTCTTGGCTTTGGGTTCCGACTGCAGGCCTTTGATCATTAATCCCCTTTTCTGCAGTGGCTCCCGGTGTCAGGTGGTTTTCTGAAGGCAGGCTGAAGGTGAACCCTGGGAGCTTAACCTTCAGGTTGCTCGGGAAGCATTGACCTCACACCGGCAGTCTGTGAGCACTGCCTCCCCTCTCGTCCTTGAATGGCCTGTGAGGGACCTCACTGCGCAGAGGCTGCGTGCCCAGGGCAGCAGCTCTGGCTCTGGCAGCTCAGAGGGGCACAAAGACTGGCTCCTGGACCCTCGGGCCGTGGTACTTCCTGGTGAGAGGATGTCCACATGGACAAATAAGCAAAACCAGGTTTTTGCTGGTCTTTGGGTTTTGTGCCCCCCCTCCACCCCTCTTTTAAAATTGATTACTGTGGACTCTATGAGATAGCAGGGAACCCGCACTAGGAGCCGTGGAAGCGGCCAGAGTAACCCAGGATGACAGGCAGCCATGGAAGTGCAGTATGTTGAGTGGGCAGCCCTGGCTGAGGGGCACAGTGCTGTCTCCACATGGGCCTTCAAGCCACCTTCCTGTGGGGCCAGGGAGCCTGGAGTGGGAGGAGCCCCCAGGACAGGACAGAGCTGCTGGCAGCAGCGCCCCCTGCCGGTCAGCCTGGAAACACATGGCTGAGTGGACAGTAGACTCACCAAGTGACACAACCAAGGAGGTGCCCTCTGGGGGCCAGACGAATGTCAGACAACTCCGCATCGTTTGAGGGTGAGAAGCAGTAGGCTTTGAGGTGACGAACACCCAACACCCTTTGTGCCATTGGGCCAGTTTAAAGCAGCCAGCCAGGGTGCTGCTCTCCAGCATCTTTGGTAGCCTGGCTTCAGAGCAGGGCCGCGCAGGAAGGTGGGGAGCCGGTGCAGTGCGTCTGAAGGCAGCGGGTGGTGCCAGGAACTGGCTGGAAGTACGGTGTGAGGAGGATGGACTGGGAGCGCTGTCGGCGATGTGGAGATTGCTGGACGGCTGAGTTTGAAGGGTGATGGGAGGTGGCTGTCCGATGGATGGGACACTCAGCTGGAGGACAAGCCCCCAGCTGCAGATGGTTCTACCAGGCTGAACCAGAAGTCTGCCAGGCCGCCGTGCCCTTGCCTCGTGGAAAGTCACCAGGAGGCTGTGATCCAGCCCGTCAGCTCATTGTCTTTTATTCAGTTGCCACTGGGTGATGTCTCTGGCTGCATACATCCCCTAACTACCCACAGAGGGGGGGGTCGGCGCTCCACAGCCCTGTCCCCATCAGCCAAACGCCATTTCACCTGTGTGTCGGGTCTCAGTTCAGGTGGGTTGCGCAGACAGAGCCTTGTGATCACAGGAGCTGGCTGCTCTTCCGAAAGCCTGCCCTGTGCTTTAGCAGTGAGGCATTATGGGACATAGCCCTGCCTTGTCTGAAATATCGACAGAAGATGTTGTGCAGCTTGTCTTCTGGGTACACCCACTGTGCGACCTGGGTCTGCTCATCGGTCCCTGTGACTCTAAATGTCTTCACTCCAGAAAGCGCTTTCTTCCCCTGTGCTTGGCTGTCTTCTCAGGTGGTGGGCGAGCCTGGCCCGTGCCCTGTGCCCCGTGCATCCACCCGCGTCCTGTGCTCCGTTGCCCCCATACATGAGCAGTAGGAGCGTCAGACCAGCGTGCAGCTGCTGTTCACTTGCCTGCTTGGTTTTGCCAGAGCACGTCTTGGTTGGGGTGGCTGCGCCGGCAGCCCCCGTTCTATCACTGTGTGGTAGAGCATTCTGGAATGTTTCTGTGACAGAAATGTCCTAGATCCACACTGTGGTTTTAGGCAGCCGCCGAGAGGGCGTGCTGAGCACCGTGACTTTATTAAGGTTGGTACTGGGGTTATACATGACAGCACCGCGGACATTTTTGCAGTCACAGTCCTGACTGGCGTGGGAAACAAGAACGTGTTCTCATCCCGGGGGTAACACAGACGAGGAGAGCTTGGGTGTTGAGAGCGCTGCTGTCTGGTGGGTTGGAAGTCATGTTCCCCTGGCAGGTTCAGGGTGACCCAGTGCGGTCTGCCACTGCAGGAGACCGCATTGAAAGGTGTTGAGGGCAGTTCACGGACAATAGGTGAGAAGGATCGCTGACATGTGTCCACATCACTTCTCAAGCCCCCAGTAGTAGTGTCTCAAGCAGCACCCCGTCGCCGCCACCTGCTTTGAGCGGAAGTGTCTACACCATGAGCCCCTCACCATCACCCCAGGAGGCAAAATACACGCTCAGCTTCTGACCACTTGAGCCGTCCTGCCCCTTGAGGGGCACCTCAGGTGCTGCCAAGCAGATAGTGAGCCCATGGTGGTGCTCTGGGGGATGGGCTCACTACAGTTTACTGGGGACCCCAAGTGCAGGGAGCGCTGGTGAAGTGCTTCACATGGAGCGTGTTTTACAGACTGAGGTGGGGGAGCCTGTGTGGAGTTCTGTGTTTGACTCCAGTTACCTTGAATCACCATCCATGCCAGTCCAGCGTCGGTCAGACTCAATAAACAGAACAGTTCACCAGGAGTGAAGCAGAAAGCGGGCAGCCCCACCCACCCTCCAGGACTGGGGATGCTCCTGGAGGATCGCACGTGGAAGCAGCTTTCAGAACCACCTGGAATGGTGGTTCCTTTTTGGCCGCTCTGCAGCAAGCATGGGGTTCGATAGCAGCCTTCATTGTGGCAGATGGCCACACACCCAGAGTGGCTAGCTTGCCCCTATTGGGCTTCTGCATCCCCCTCTTGAGACTGAAGGGGCTGTGACCAGGGAGCTGAGTCCCCGGCCCCAGGTGAGCTAGCTCTGGCCCGTTGACAGGGCTCCCTGTGTTTAAACAAATGCCCATCAGGCTGCATGAGGAATATGAAAGGGCCTCCTGCAGGCTTTAGAAATAAGGGGAAGGGGTTCCATGAGGGTTCAGGGTGCGAAGCGGAAAGGGAGGGGGTCCCGGGCGAGCAGCAGGGAAAGCGGCTTAAGCTGGTCTATTGCCCAGCACCCTCACAGGCCTGGCTCGGCCAGCATGATGTGACCAGGCCAGGATCACCAACAAGCTGGCCGGGGCCTGTGAGTTCCTCAGGAGGCACGGCTCTCTGATAAGACACTAAGCACTAGTCCAGCAGCGAGGAGGGGGATGGGCCGCCAGAGCACCTGTTCTGTGGTGGCAGGGGGAACCGAGGTGTGGCACTCTGCCTCAGTCTTACAGGGCAGCACCAGTGACCAATGGCTGCCCTGCTCACTGGTCCCAAGGCCCTTCCCATCCATGGCCAGTGTGTGCACTCTGGTTGGGGTTGGCTAAGCCTTTCTATAAGCAGCTGGCGGAGGCCCTGGGGCCCAATGAATAACACCTCCCCGTGGTGCTGCTGAGGACGCTCCTGGAGAGGCCGACTGCACAGCCCCCAACGCGTGCAAGGGGTCAGAAACTCATCCAGACTGGCCACGTGGTGGCAGACAAACCACTGGCCTGACGTCAGCCCAGCAGGCAGCCCGTGGGGACCTGCGGAGATGGGGTGTGCCAGGCTCCGCAGACCCTCCAGGAGTTTCTGGGAGACCTGAAGTGGCCTTTGGGCAGTGAAAGCAGTTGAGGGGACTTTGGAAAGATTAGTCAGGAGGTAGCAAAGGGGACAGTGGGCACCCCGCCCACCAATCAGGGCTGAGGCCAAGGCTGGATGGGGACTCTTTCCTGGCTGGTGAGGCAGAGGAGAGAGGGAGAGGCCAGCTGGGGTGCTGTTTCTGAGAGGAAAGGTGGGGGGCAGCTTAGGAAATAGGGATGAAGTGTCCCGTGTGGGGCAGGGAGGCTGAGCGACTCCTAAGGAAAATCTTCTAGATGTCCCAGCGAGAAGACCCTGAACTGAGTAGCACACCTCACTGACCGGAGGAGGAGTTGTAGACGGGCTAGGGGGCTGGCTAGGATCAGGAGGGAGAGGGGACTTGTCTCTGATAACTCACCCTTCAAATGTCGTCTTAAAAACACACTGCATAGTTGTAACTAGACCTGACCATCCCGTCTGCTGCAGGCTCTCCCCATCCATGGCTGGTGGGGTCCAATGTGAGAGAGCTGTTAAAGGGGGCTTGGCTTGGGGGCACCTGTGGAGTCTGGTCTGGGGAGGCACAAGGGCGAGTGTCTGATGGAGGGGATGGGTGATGGGTGGCACAGGCTGGTCACTGACACTTGCTAACTGCAGAGTCCCCATCTTCCCTTCCCGTACATTCCAAAACCAAACCCACAGCCTTCCGGTTGTCCTGATTCATGCTGACCCTAGAGGTCAAGGTAGACCTGCCCTTGCCAGTCCTGTGGCAGACAATTCCCAGCGGGAGACCTTGTGCTCAGTCAGCAGCCAACTGCGCGGCCAGGGCTCCTCCCACACGGCGCCTGATGTGCATGCTCCTCTTCTCCCCGAGGGTCGTGGTTCTAGGTTCCCAGCACACCTGGGAGGGGAGCAGAGGTGGGGAGGGTGGGCTCTTCTCCCACAGTGCAGCTCTGGGACCATCTTTAGGGGCAGCTGGACTCCCCTTATCCTCACTGTCCTCCGAAAGCACAGGGGCCTCTCACAAGGTGGCCTGTGGTCACATGTCCACCCGCCTGTGAAGGTACCTGTCCTTCAAAACATGCTGTCCTCACCTGGTCTGTGCACCCATACTCACAGCCTCCCTCCCCTTCGTCCCACACTCACTGCTGTCGCGCTGGTTGGAACCAGCTCCCAGCTGGGGACCCACAGGCCAGCACAGAACCGCTCCCTGAGGTTTCTAGACTAGATCCTTCCAGAAGCAGACTAGTGCCTTGTCTTTCTCCTTCAGTGGCTCATGGCTTTGAACTGCTGCCCTTTCGGCTAGCAGGCTGGTGTTTAACCCTCGGTGCTACCAACCTCCCTGTCTCAGGGCGCTCCGTAACCTTCATCTTCTCTTCACAGAATGATGCCAACGGGATGGCAAAGCCCCCTTTCCTAAGGTAGGTGTTGTCTGTGCCTCCTCTGGGACGCAGCTGTCAAGGGCCACACGGGTGACCTGACCCACCACCCTGGGTTCAGACACCACTGCTGTTGGGGGTGGGAGGGCGGTTTCGTCTCTGAAAACCAAGTGTGTCTCAGCCTAGTGTTTCTGAAGGCGCTCTCTCCCCCGCCCGCCCCCCCCATAGCGGAGAGAACCCCTTTGCTACCGTGAAGCTGCGCCCGACGGTGACCAACGACCGGTCTGCTCCCATCATCCGGTGAAAGGCGGCCGCTGGGCTCCCCCCATAAACTCTACCACCCGCTGACTGGTGCACCTCACACACGCACTGACGCCAAGATGCTGGGACTGGTGTGGCGCCCAGTCGAGGCCCAGTCCTTACCGGCAGGTGGACACGTCTTCTCAGCTTCACCTAGCAGGTCTACGCATCTGTCTCCAAGAGGATGAAATGAGTAGTAGCTTTAGTGACCAACAAAATAATTTAAGATCTACACTTCCTATCTCTTCTGAAATTTGGGATGATTCTTAGTGCACCTTTTTTTTTGTCTTAAACAGCCAAAATATACAGATGATTTGTGCTTTTGCCCGGCACCCCGCTTTCGTGCTAAGACAACAGTAGTGTTTTACGAAGCGCGTGCTCTCAGGCAGCAGCATGACATTTATCTGAAGAAAAATACTGTGTGCGTGCACCTTGGCGTGCAAGTCATAAGCAATATAAATTATGAAAATAATATGTAAAATATAAATTTTCTAACTTAGTCGTTAAATTTGTTTTATTAGAGAAAGCCACCCAGGGAGGGAGGGGATTGCAAGCGCCCCTGTCAGACAACACAGTGCAGTGGGGGCTTCACGTTTCCTGTTCAGTCATCACCAACAGTGACTAGCTACCTGTTGGGTTTACTGCCCAGGCTGCGTGCCAGGGCTGAGGGCCATACAGAGCAGCCCACCTATTGGGGGGGGTGGAGAGGGGAGGTTCCCATCAGCAGGAAGGACCTACCTTGCTCACCCTGACGGTGGAGAATCCTGAGCAGAATTTGCACCCAGGACTTCCTGCTTGGAAGGGCTGCTCCCTGTGGACTGCCAGGACTTCGCTGCTCCGTCATCAGCTCAGTTCTCCTGGGGGCTGGATGCTAGCCCAGTGCAGGCCTCCTTCCGGCTGGGTTGAACAATGTCACAAGCTCTCGTGGGAGGGGACAGCCAGGCAGCCCCTCCCCCCAGGGGCTGTGAGCACCAGCCAGGGCAGAGAACCTGGTCTGTTCTCCTCCCACCACCTATAGGAGAGGGTCCAGGAGTGTTCCACTCAGGGAAAACAGCTAGGTCTTTAGAGCCCCCCGTGGGGAGCCTTCTGGCTTTGTTACAGGGATCTAGACGCAGGTCCTAGGGGATCAGGTGCAACATGTGGACCCCACCAGACTCCTCCAAGCCCCATTTTGCCCCCACAGAATGGAACTTGGTGCGGAAGTGGGGGCAGGGGGTCCTCGGGTCCCTAGCACCAAAGCGCAGTAGTGTCACGGTACTGTATTTCATGACAATAAAGACCTTGAAAACAGGCATGCTTTCTTGAGCTGTAGAATCGACTCTTGGGTAACCCCCAAAAAGGCTGCCTCCAAGGGTGGGCAACAGGCAGCCTGGGTTCATATTGAGCCCAAGCCAGAGCTGGATGCTGGTCCTTCCAGACGGTGGTAAGTGGCCCTCAAGGGCTGTCTGGGCAGTGCTGGCTCATGGAGGGGTCTGGGCTCCTCTCATCTCCCTCGAGCCCACACTAGGGTTTAGTCCACGGAAAATGTCACTCCCATGTTTACACAGCGCACACAAAGACCAAGCCTGGACCGACTGAGCAACAATGTTCCTTAAAGAGTCACTTACCTTTCCAGCGAAGGTCTGTATTTAAAGGTTGACAGTCCAGCCAGCTCTCACCAGTGCCCACCCCCCCAGTGGAGGCTCGGCACTTTAAGGGCAAGCGGCCGCAGGGCATGCGCACACAGGCAGGTGGAAACCCGACAACAAGGGCAGGAATTTTGTTTATTAAAATGGTACCCCTCACCTTCCTCGGATAATAGGACCCAGAAGCAGTGCTTTGATGAGTCACCATAGCCTTGGGGTCCCAGAGCTGACCACCCTTCCTAGGCCCGGCACCCCAGGCCCGTCCCTCCACGCTATAAAACAGTCCTGAAGCTTCATGGGATAAAGCTATTGTACACGACATTTACATTAGAAAAAGAGCATGTCGAAAAGCCTGGGGTGAGGTTCCCTTTACGAAAAGGAGGCCCCGCAGTTGGGGCATCTTCGCTTCCTCAAGGCGAAGCAGCAGATGAACCCGAAGGGGAACAAGATGATGGCCAAGAAGATGCCCAGGAAGGTGAAGGAGTCCTCCAAAACCCCGACTCTGTGGAGAGAGGGGGGCGGGGTCAGGGCCGAGCGGGGCCTGTGCCTCATGCACAGCCTGTGGGGGAGAGGTAGGTGAGCCCCTCCGGCCAGCTGACAGCGCAGGTTCCCACTCACTCGGCAGGTGACCCAGGAGGAGCGGCGGCCAGGGCCAGCCCCACAGAAGCCCCCGGCTTCTGCCTGCATGGGGATTCATCTGAGGCACAAGCACTTGGTCTCCCTTTCAAAGAAGGACCCCGGGTTTTCATCTCCCCACCCCCATCAGAGTGATGGAGTGGGTTTGGGGCTGTTTGGCTTCACAAGTTGTGGTGACATTTCACTACAATCCAACCCTTAGTCATGTGTGTCCCTTCACCCTCAAAGCACCACATCTTCCTCCAGTGCACACCATGTCCAAGGATTCCCTGGGGATGGGGCGATGACGGGACCACAGGAACTCTGGAAGCCCCTGCAACTCATCAAAGTGACTGAAGCCCTGTGCCCAGGGACAGAGGTCCAGACGCCGCTGGAGGAAGGGCTGGCTGCCCCAGGCAGAGGGCCCACCCAGAGGGCCCCATCCCACCAGACAGCCTCCTTGCCCCTGATCACAAACCCAAGCACATGAAGGGATGCCAGGGAAGTCCCTCCAGGTGGCATCTGCCCAAAGCTGGGCCAGCCTTGGGCTTGCCTCCCCCCCACCCCCCGCAGGACACTGGCCCAGTACTAGAGCCAGCCCTTCCACCAGCTCCCAATCAACGCCTTCGGGAAGCGATGCTGGCAATGTGGAGGAAGGAACGCCACAGTGGCCACTAGAGGGCGCCTGCACACACAATTCCA